ATCAGTTTTAGGCATCCATGCAAACCACTCTTAATTGCTACTTACAACCCAGAAGAGGGCGCTGTTCGTGAACACTTGCTAGACAGGATTGCAATTAATTTAAGGTATAGTAGTTGTTTTGCCAGTGAAGTAAATCATATATTCATTTCTCTTTCTCATTAGGCTATGACAAACTCCTTGTGCAGTGCAGATCTACCTATGAGTTTTGAAGATCGTGTTGCAGCTGTAGGAATTGCTACACAATTTCAAGAACAGAGTAGGGAAGTTTTGAAAATGGTCGAGGAGGAAATAGAGTTTGCAAAAACTCAGGTAATCTGGCCTGTTATGGTATAGATTATTAAACTTAAATGATCTGCTCCCTAATGAATAGCTACTTGCATGATATAACTCACTAGTTTCCTGGAGCATTAAAGGTGAAAGATTAACTGCCTCCATCATTATTTTCGTTCATATGGATGAAGAAGATGGATGAACCTCAGTTTTATTGTTAACTACAAACCTTGTTTTAGAAAATTAGGTTGCTTTGTTAGTATTACATATACTCAAACGCATAAGCTTGACAGTTGGTGGATGTTTTGTAATAAAAAAAACACAACTGTTGTGAAGTCTTTACCTTTATTCATTTATTTTATTTTTTATGAATCAAATACTCAGCAAAACAAATCTTTATTCTGTAAAAGTAACTGTTAAAGGTTGAACCACCTTTAAATGCAGATAATTTTGTCAAGAGAATATTTGAAGGATGTTATAATTGGACGAGAGCAATTAAAGTACCTCGTCTTGGAAGCTATTCGAGGTGGTTGCCAGGTTCTTACCAATTCTTTCCTCTTGACTTCAGTTTTCAATGGACTTCATGTTTCATCTTGACTCTGTTTTTCATCAATGTGTTGATTACTCCCATGCATTTAAAGATTTTACTATCTTCCTCGATGGGAGACAATTATCTTTCTCAGCTATTTCCATTTAGGCTTTTAAGATTGGAAACGAAATGGTGTTGGAATGAACTATTTGCTCTGATTTCAAATTCTGCGTGCAATATTATTTTTTTTGTCATTTTTGTGCTCACTGGGAAAATGAAAGCTGAAAAGAAAAATACATAATGCCAGTTGAGTAACTTGACAGAAGATCACGGCTTTACATTTTTCTTGCTTCTTATCTTGATTGTCCAATATATGACTGGTGGAAATCAGGGGCACAGAGCTGAGCTATATGCAGCACGTGTTGCAAAATGCCTGGCTGCTTTTGAGGGGAGGGAAAAAGTCTATGCTGATGACCTGAAAAAAGCTGTAAGCCGATAAGTTGTCTTCTTTACTGCAGTGCTACTTCTTTTCTACCTCGTTAATTGCATAACTGGAAATATATTCTTTCTTACCTTGGCTGTGATTTTACCTATGCTAGAGTGTTATTCATGATTGGAAAATTTTTCTTTATTTTTCCAATAGTCTATGGTTTGTTCTCTACTGGCTTCTCTGATGAAATTTTGTGAGGTATAAGCTTTTGTTAATTATTACAAAGCAACAACGGTATTAACTGTCGCATATCGTTATCCAGTACGAGTATGGATGTTTTCCTACGAACTGTTAGGTGTTCCATTGGGTGAAGGTTTCCTTTTCTCAAGGTTTTCTGATATTATGTATAGTGCTGTATTTCAGTTTGGCACCTCCATACATGTTTTCCATTCTAACATATTACACATTATAGGTTGAACTGGTCATTCTACCTCGTTCGATCATCAATGAGAATCCGCCAGATCAGCAAAATCAACAGCCTCCGCCACCTCCACCACCTCCACAAAATCAAGAATCTGGGGAAGAGGAGAATGAAGAGGAAGAAGAACAAGAGGTTTTTTTGTACATCCATCAGAATTCCAGTTTGTCAATGATTTTTTTTTCATTTAAGTGATTCTAATTTTTTTCCCTTGCATTTTTCAATGGAATAGTCTATGCGGTGTTTCATTTTGAATTTCTTTATTTGATTATTCTCCAATAACTTGAAATTTCCTTCCGTATGCAGGAAGATGATGATAAAGAGAATGAACAGCAGGAGCAATTACCTGAAGAATTCGTTTTTGATGCTGAAGGAGGTTTGGTGGATGAGAAACTTCTTTTCTTTGCTCAACAAGCACAGAGACGCAAAGGCAAGGCCGGGCGGGCAAAAAATGTCATCTTTTCGGAGGACAGAGGACGGTATATTAAGCCAATGCTTCCAAAGGTCAGTCAACTTCCTGACCCTTTCATTTGAGACGTGAGATTAATTTTGGTGTTCAAGGCACACACTTTTCTACCGATCGTCATATTCTGCAGGGGCCTGTTAAGCGGCTAGCAGTTGATGCAACGCTTAGAGCAGCTGCTCCATATCAGAAGTTGCGAAAGGCAAAAGATGTTCAGAATACTAGGAAAGTTTTTGTCGAGAAGACTGACATGAGAGCAAAAAGAATGGCTAGGAAAGCAGGAGCATTGGTAATCAAACTTCAGTTTTATTAATCACTATGTTATATATATATATATATATAAGAAGTATCATACAATAAATTTGAGACATTAAATGAGCGTAAGTGACATGATAGTTACAGTTTATTCTTGGTTCAACATTGGAATGCTAATAATGTCTTGCACATCTTGATTTGGTTGTACTTGGAAGTTTTCTGCTTTGATTTCATTGCTCTATGGAGGAATAGAATTTCAGAACCTTGAGAGTTGTAGACTTCAAGCAAAATATTAATTTTTTTTTTATATTGTTCAGACGAAAGCTTCCCAATTTTAACTTTTTTGGAAGTCCCAATTTGGATTTGAATTATGGTGATGTCTCATTCTTAGATTTGGTTACCTATGGCAGGTAATATTTGTGGTTGATGCCAGTGGGAGCATGGCATTGAATCGTATGCAAAATGCAAAAGGTGCAGCACTCAAGTTACTGGCAGAAAGCTATACGAGTAGGGATCAGGTAACACAAAGATAACAACATTATGCACTTCAAGGTTACATGGCTCCAGGCAATTGATATTTCCTTGCATAGCATCAAATATTTTCCTCTTACAAAGAATGTAGAAGCAATAGCATGGTTATTGTCTAGTCTTCGCCAAAAAGCATGATTAAGATTTACCCATATTTTCATTTATCTATTTGTCACAGGATCCCTTAATTTCATCGTAAGATATTAATGGAGTCCTGAATTCCATTTTTCTGATTGTTTAAGCAAGCACGGTCAAGACTTCAATGTTCTTTTTTTTTTTCTCTTTCCCCTTTACTTGTCTTTGGAACTCTAATTGCTATCTGGCTTTGTAGTAATGCGTGCTTTTATATCTAATAATCACATTACAGGTTTCCATAATTCCGTTCCGTGGAGATAGTGCTGAAGTTCTCCTACCTCCTTCAAGATCTATTGCAATGGCAAGAAAACGTCTCGAGAGACTTCCTTGTGGTGGAGGATCTCCCCTGGCTCATGGTCTTACCACGGTCAGTATTTTAATATTGATCTTGAACCATCTTAAAAGTTATCGGATTCTAGGCTGGTTCCCCTTCTCCTGACTAAAAAACTGGGACTGAAAAGGAAGCGATAGTAAAAGTTCAGTATTATAGTTACGTTGGGTGTCTTTTCTTTTACTCATTCAGGTCTGCAAGCACCAGGCCCATTAAGTGGGCTAAATTCCTTGTTCTGATTGTAATGGTAGCAAGTTAAAAACATGTATCCTAAAGTGGTTTTTGATCCACTTCTCCAGGCTGTAAGGGTTGGATTAAATGCTGAGAAAAGTGGCGATGTAGGAAGAGTGATGATTGTTGCAATAACTGATGGCAGAGCCAACATATCACTCAAAAGATCCACTGATCCTGAAGCAGCAGCTGCAGCTGCTGATGCTCCTAGACCTTCAGCACAAGAATTGAAGGTAAATTCAAGTCCTTTAGCCTCATGTGCTTCATCCAATACAGATTTAGTAAATTGAAAACCTCACTTGTGAAATGGTCATTCTAATGAAGGATGAGATTCTCGAAGTGGCTGGAAAAATATACAAAGCAGGAATGTCTCTCCTCGTCATTGATACCGAAAACAAGTTCGTGTCAACTGGTTTTGCAAAGGAGATCGCAAGAGTAGCTCAAGGTTTGTTCCATTTTCAAATATAAGGTTGTTCAAACTTAGAGCAGCACCACAATTGCATAATAACATCTTACACAACACATTCATTCATCACAGGAAAATACTACTACTTACCGAATGCCTCAGATGCTGTCATCTCTGCTACGACGAAGGAAGCTCTTACCGCGTTCAAGAACTCGTAAAATGACTGAAGTGGTCCGTTTTCTTGCTCACTAGTTTTGTTGAAATGAAAACAGGCTTTTCCCTGCAGTCTAAGTACTTATTTTTGGCAATGTTCATAATAGAGCAGATCATTTTGGTGGAGAATCCACCCCATTTAAATCTTGTATTGCAAGGATTGTTTCAATCAATGAGTGAAAGAGTTGCCTTCTTCTTCTGATGTTCAAATACAGCTCTAGTGGACGTGGGCCGATAATCAAATTTTAGTACAAAAGTTCGAATCTTGAATTAATTGTAACTTATATAAAAAATAAAATTAGAGTTATTTGAAGCTACTCCATTCTTAAAATAATAATAGTAATAAACTACTAATTTATTATCATTAGTTTGGGAACAATTTTATTTTATAATTGTCATTTGAATAACTTCATTAAATCCAAAATTTAAAATGCAGACCTGATAGAAGTACGAAGTCTAAATTTTACACATGGAAATTTTCAGAAAAACAAAAAATATATATAGTTAGATTAATAAATTAATAGTTTACAATTTTTAAATAATTAAAATGTATTTTATTTATATTACTTTTACGTATTATTTTGTAAGCTTCGTAAATTTTTTTACAATAGAATGGAAATGTCGGACATCGAAATTTAAATCCCATCGCTTTTATTTACTTTATTTATTTATTTATTCTTTTAGTTTCTCCAGCGAGCTCAGTGAAGGGGACGCGCCAAGGAGTAATAAATATATTATAATTTTTATTTATTTATTTTTATTTTGAAGGAGATTTTCACAGTTCTCCCAACGTTTCTATCTGCGATTTTCAAACTCCACTTCCCGCGTGTTTTCGCCTTGCAATCTCCAAGCTGAACGAAATTCGTGGTAAGTTCGATGCCTACAAGGTTTCTCTATTCATAAATGTTTCCGTTTCCGCGAGATTTCGCTGTTTGGAGGTCAAGAAGCTGAAGCTGAAGTGAAAGAAACCTTGTCGAACTTAATTTTCTCCTCGTTTACAGCCTTTGACATCGCAACAGTTGTTCCTTTCAGGTTCTTCGTTCTCAGTTTCTCCGGGAAGCCAAACGGACTCGCGTAAGTACTTTTTGTTCGTCAGATTTTTTAAATTTAGGGTTTTCCAGAATTTCATTGTTGCTACCGAGTGGTTTTGCTTATTTGAATTTTTTTTTTTTTTTTTTTAAACAATTTTGGTAGATGGAGTCTCTCTATAAGAAGCTCTACGACAAGTACACTAAACTCAAGGTGTGTGGCTGTTTTTTCTCTATTGATTGATTGAGTTTCTGCAGATTGTTAAAGATTTTCCTTGCTTCTTGTTTTGTATAGGATTTGTAATTTTTTTTTAAATGTGGAATGGAATAATATTGGTGCATTGGTAAGTCAAGCCATGCATTCAATTGGTTGAAGTTGGATCTTGTCTAGGACTTAATTTCCTAACTCTGAAGAAGCATTTTACAAGTGAATCTGCAAAATTATCCTCTTGTTGGTCCTCAAAACTTTCATTACCGCTCTATGGGTCGTTTGTCTGCATGCTGGTTTCAAAATTACCTATCTTATTTACGGTTGCGTATCTCTTACAGACAAAAAAAATGTCAGACTTTGATCAGCTCAGCAAGGATCAAGAAGTAAAATTTTTGAATTATGTGTCTGGTATGGGCAATTATCCTTTCCTTTGCTTATCGGGTTGTCTTTTTTCCTTTACTTAATGTGTGATGTCAGAGGTTTAAGACAAAAGGATTGTGCTTTTGTCTATGCTATTTGAGTTGTTTAGCTTCTTGGCTTACACCAGTCGGTATTTTCTTGCTCCTCTCCAGCTGCAGAGGAGTTGATTCAACATTTAAAAAGTGAAAATGATAGATTGCGTCTCCAGTTTAATGAATTGAGAGATGAAGCTGCTTCGACCAGGTGTGTCTTAGAAGAATACCAATAACTTCTTCAGTCTTTATGATTATCTTTTTGAGTTCCTTTGATGGGCTAATACACTGGTAGTGTGGTTGCAGGTCCAGCATGGATGCAAAATGTGCCGATTATCAGAAGCGATTAATGGAAGAGAATCAAAGGAGTAAGAGATGCACATTTTCTCTTGCTCAGATTCTATAGATTTCTATGTCCAGTTCTTGCGAAGAATATCCATCTTGAACAATTTACCAACTTTGCTTTCCAGCAGGAGAAAATCCAAAATTGCCATGCCTTGAGTTCTTATGATGACCTGGGGTCTTGGGTTTGCATGCAGATAATAACTTCAAACTTGAAATTAGTACTTTGGTTTTAAACTAATTTAACATTGTAAAATGAAAGATTTTTTATTTCCAAGGTACTCAAATCTTAATTGCTTTTTTACTAGTGAAATGGGAATACTCAAATTCTTGTTGGGTATCCACTTAGTTCACGAAGTATGTTTGGGTGGCTTAATATTTAATATGATGTAACCAGACTTAAAGGAAAGGTTAAATTGCTAAAGTACCCTGCCTAAACTAAAGAATTTTGTGATTTGTTCATGAATTTTCGAGGGTATAAATGTTACATTATGATTGAAACCCTTGTGAGTATCATTTTCCAATTCATATTCTTTAAATATATTTGCTTATGTCCCACTAGAACCCAATTTCCTGAATCGCTTTAGGTTTTGTCCTTTACCTCTCTGCCCATTATCTATTAATAACTATTGGGTTCTGTTCACTGAGATTCATCTTGCATAACATTAACTATATCTATCTGTCAAGCATCCACGTGCCGATTGCCTAATAAATTCTTCATATGGGCTCAATCCAATGCAGATAGTACTCTTTCTGAAGAAGTTGAGAAGCTTCGAAAACTCCAGCAGGAGGGAAATTTTGGTGGTTATAACAACGGAATAAGCAAGGAACCGCACACGCCTAGTGGCTCCCAACTTGTGCCTGGGGAGGTTCCGAAAGGCCCATCTGGAGGAAGTACAAGAAAGCGCTCCAGAGATGCTACTCCAGTGACCGATGAACTTGGAGTACTCAATGCAGGTGCTCAAGCTGATCCCACACAAAGGCAATCAACAAGTGAACTGTCCGAGAAAGCTGCATCCAGCAAGGTTGGCAACATGCAGCTGGTATATCTAATTAATGATTATATTTTTGTGCAAATACTTTTGGTTTTCTTTCCTCTGATATTTTCAATGCAATGCGACAGGGTTGTTGCGGAAGCAAAGGTTGGTATTGACAGATGTAAATATAGCATTATGTTGGCATGATGGTGTTGCTGTAGTCTAATCCTCGAACTGTTTATAGATGGCAGCGTAAATGACTGTGTTTCCACCAACTGCCCATATCATTGCCTTATAGAGCACTTGATGGGCATGGAAGTATCATCTACCAATCGAAGTGAAGGAATATGTATATCAGCAGTTCATAAATCAAGTGGTAACTTAAAAATTGGATATGACGCTTTGTTCTTCTGCCTTGTGGCTTTCTACTTTTCTTCTTTCTACATTAGATTTTTGCTTCAATTATACTTGAAAAGCTTTTTTTTTTTTTACCTCGACCAAATTTGGAGAAATTGGTGACGGTTTACTCTTCTGTTTTTCTTTATGGTTATATCAGGTTACTCATTCAGTCTAACGTGGTCAAGTAAACTAGCTGGAGAAACAGAAATCCTATATCGCGTCTTATCTCTGGGTACTTTCGAGAGGGTAGCACCAGAATGGATGAAGGAAGCCATCATATTCAGTACGAATATGTGCCCAACTTTCTTCGAGAAGCTTACAAGAGTCATCAAGCTGCACTGCTAATAAAAAGCATGGCTAGTGCTTTCTAATCCCAACTAAGCTTTCAAGTTAGTTTCTCCTACTTGCTAAATGAACATGAATAGTGAGCAAACTAACAAAAACTGCATGCCTGACCGATTTGCAAACTCATGTATAAATTGTGAGGTTGATATGATATGATATCTTCAGAAAAAGGATTGTGAACTCTTGAAGTCAGTTCTTTTTTCTGTTTTCTTTCTTAGAATGAATTGTGAGGTTGAATTGGACGGTGAATTTCCAGTGAGCGATGTATATATTTGAGGTTAATAATCCATCAACCAACAAGAATTTGACATCTGGAATAGATAGAACAACAAGGACTTGATCTACAACTTTCATTATTGTAGAGATATTGTGATGCTGGAAAATCTGTCTGGGTCTACTGTACATTTAGTGGGCTTAAAATTTGAACTTTTTTGAGTCTATCTATAAATGAAGAAAGTGAAGAACCTTGAAGCGAGAGTCTGGCAATAATAGCATCCAAGATTGACATCTTTGGTAAGGCCCTCTGTCACCAAAAGGGGGGAAGCTAAAGCATCTTGATCATTGACTACGAAAAACAGAATGATTATCAAAGTTTTTGCTTATCCTTTCTCTGTGTTCTTTTCACTGTAGAACGAAGCACTTATTTTCATGAATTCACCTTTTAGTACTTTTTTTTTTCTTTTCTGTTGCTAAATGCACTTCATCTTTGAATTATAACCCAACTTATTCCTTTTTAAACAAACAGGGATTATAGAGGAAGGCAGGTGTACGAAAAATCGCACTTGTTCGGATTATTATATTTTCCTCAAGTTGTATATTGACGATTTTAAAACAAAATTTTAATGAAAAGTTTGAATTAAAATATTTTTGAAACTTTAAGATTTAAATTGATACGATATTGTTGATTTGAGAGTTTAATTGATGTAACTCTAGGAGTGTAAATTTATATTTGCTTACGATATCATGAGCTCATCAATTGTCTAGATATAAAAGAAAAGATAATGAAGTAAATATGAGTAATTTAATTCTTTTTTTTCCAGGAATATGAAATATAATATTTAAAATCATGGCACATAAAAACATTAATAACAAATACATCCGAAAATCCTTAAAAAAAATTAATGTATGGAAATTTAAAATAAAGGAAGGTACTCATGAAAAGGGTCAATTATTATTTTAAAAATAATAATAATAAGTAAGGTCAATTATTATTAGGTGGTGGATGAAGAGTTTCATTTGGTAATAATAATAATAATTATTTTAAAGAAAATGTCTGGCTGTGGTTGAATAAAGTGGTGGCGCTAAAGCAGTGACCAAAAGTAGCCGTTGTAAATTCAAAACCAACCTAATTGGAATCTTCACCCTCGCCCATAACGTTCACTAAATTTTTTGAATATTTATCCTTCAATTCCAATCCCTAATTCTTCATCTATTTCCTTGGTTTTAAGCTCCCTAATTTCCTCTCTCCCCTTCTGCTCCGCCTCTCTCTCTCTGCCAACGTCTCATTGATACTTCTTTGGGGGAGAATTTCCTTGGATCCTTCTTGAATTCTTCATATCGTCTGTTATTCGGATCAGAGAGAATGGCGGCCATCAACCGACACACTGACAACACGACGCCGGCTAACGCTGTTGTTTCTCCAGCGAAGAAATCCTTGCCGCCGGCCAAAACCGCGGATTCTCAGTCCGTTCTCAAAAGGTATAAACATTTTTGTATCTTTTGGATTCCGTTACTATATCACTGCGGATCGACCGCTTTCCTGTGCGTCGCATCTGCTCTTTGCTTTATGTGATTTTGAGCCGTCGTTAAACTTTAAGCTGGATGAGGTAGTGATAGGGTCCTGGATTATGTAATCTTCTACCACTTGGTCTTTTTGTTCAAACTGATTTTGAGATAGATTGTTCTGTGGTCTTTCTCAACGAAATTTTTAGGGTTTGCGGGGTAATATGAGAGTTTTCTCAGGTCAGGTCCTCTTCCCTTAATTTAGCACCATGGTCATCCATATTGAAAGATATGTCTCTTACTTGTGTTGAAATTAGTGAAGAACCAGTCTTACTGGGAACTCCGTTTGTGTTCAACCAACTAACAATCTTCCTCTGATTTTTGGTGCTTTTACTTACACAGGTTGCAGTCTGAGTTAATGGCTTTAATGGTAATGTAAATTCTGAAATATTTGGAAATGTGATTCCACAGTTGCCAATAGGCTATTCTTAAAACTCGTGTATCTGAAATTGCAGATGAGCGGAGACTCTGGGATCTCAGCCTTTCCTGAGGAAGATAACATATTCTGCTGGAAAGGAACAATAACTGGAAGCAAAGACACAGTGTTTGAAGGAACAGAGTACAGGCTATCCTTTTCCTTCCCAAATGATTACCCTTTTAAGCCTCCAAAGGTGAAGTTCGAGACTGGCTGCTTTCACCCAAATGTGGACATTTACGGCAACATTTGCTTGGACATACTTCAGGTAACTAAGTTATGATAAAATCTTCGATATTGGAAGTGTAACTTCTATGATTTATCTATCAGAATGAAAAGAATCTGAAGTGAGAAATGTTTCATCTTTTGCAGGATAAATGGTCATCAGCATATGATGTGAGAACCATACTTCTATCCATCCAGAGTCTGCTTGGAGGTAACAACAACCTGAATCCTTTTATTTGGAATGGTTTTACTTGACTTGGATGGTTTTACTTCAACCTGAATCCTTTTAATTTGGAATCGAATCTAGAATTTGCAATGAGCCTTTGCCGTTTATTTGCAGAACCAAACATAAGTTCACCCCTGAACACCCAGGCAGCCCAATTGTGGAGCAATCAAGAAGGTGGGTTTCTAACTGTTGTTGTAACACACAATTTTTCTCAACTCTACGAGTTGCCTTGTGATGAAAGTTTTCTCACAAATGTTTCTGTGTTTGCTGTGTAGAATATCGGAAAATGGTGGAGAAATTGTACAAGCCTCCAACAGCAGCTTAGGAACAAGACTAGGATTTGTGTGTCTCACTCTTTTTGACCTAGAGAGGAGGAGATTCCCAAGTTATTTTTTTTTTCTCTTTCCTTCAGTATGATCTTCGTCTACTCTATTACTCCCAGGATGTTAGAGATATATGCTGCCTCCTGTTATATGTGGAAATTTCAAGTCATGAGCTATATATATATATATATATATATATATTTGTTTGTTCTCATTTCGAAGTGCGTCTACGTCTATACCCACACCCTTCCATGCTCTTTTTAAAAAAGCTGCCTTCAAACGGAAATGATGATGTCAAACCTCTCAAAAAAGACAATAAATCCTAACCTGGAGCTATTGTTTAAGTTTGGCATTTGGCATAAAATTGTTTAAGCTGCCTTCCATCGCAATTTTTCCATCATTAGTGGAAGTCAAATTTGGCATAAAATTAGCTCTAATTAATGCAGAAAATTTTGGCCTTTCAACAATTGCTGCTAGACACAAAATACCATGAAAATATTCTCCTCTCATCAACCAACTGCTCTGCCTAAGAAAGCAGCAAAAATATGGTTTAAGTTTCGCACATCATAATACCAAAATCTAGCCTTGAAGTTGACATTTAGCTTACAAATAAATGCACATAAAAAGATATTGAAAATTCCAATATCAAATAATACAAAGCCTTTTTTTTTTCTTTTTATACAGAGAGACATCACATTCTGAGGAAATGAATTTCTAACTTTACAGGATCTTTATATGTATATATATCAATTCTATATATATAGCAAATTTGTGCTATCATTTGGATGAATGTGATGCAGCAAGAAGAGCCGCTCCTATGCCAGATCCATCTTCAGTTACCTTAAGAATTACATGTTTGGCAATATCTTCTCCCAGTATCTCAATCAAAGCTTCATGCAAGTACTCTCTGAACATTGTGTAATTCGTATATAATCCACCCTCAACTGCCACCACTGTTCTTTTGATATTCACATCAGTTCTACTTCTTACTCCTGTAATTCCTCCAGTTCCATCCCGCCCCATCTTCTTTAGGATACCTAGAATTCCAGCTGCCACCAACCGAGCAGCTCGACGCGTCACCACATCGCATATTCTTACTACAAGTTTTCGAGCTTTTAGGGAGACTTCAGGGATCTGGAAGATCAGATGCAAGGGGGAGAAGTGTTAATTGTCTGGACTTTATATCAAGGTGGAAACAAAACGAGGAATGTAAATGGATAGGGATGGCCAAATTTTATAAACTCTCTACCCCGAAGATGTCCTTCAAGATCCTTGCTACATCTCTGAAGTCCAGAGACTCATCTTCATGCATCTCAGCCATAATAGGCGTTCTGAACACAAATGTAGTCAGTAGCTAGCATAGCTTAAATTGGTTTCAAATCAAATCAAAAACAAAAATTAAGGGACATGTAATAGAAGTCCTTTCAACATAGCTTTGCATTATACGATATGAATTCACATGCAATTGAAACACGCTGCCCATCTGTTATTTTCCTAAAAGAAAGGCCAAACTTGTAAACTAATTAAACAATCACGAAAGAAAAAGAACATACGTTAACACAAATGGCATAGATAACCTGGATGAACCTAGCCCAAAAATATCAGATTCTTGTGACATTCGAAGAATCACTCTTCTCACAATGTCACCCAAATACATTCCCGATATCATCTTCTCAAAACCCTGCACAAGACTCGGACCAGGGTACAAATTAGTTGTCGTGAGATTAAATAATGCTAGAAAAAGGGAAAACTAAGTAGTACCTGATCATTTGAATTGGGGCTGTCAAAATCCAAATCAATATCATAGGAAGTTCTAGGTAAATGAGACGACCAAAAATTTCCCCACTCCATGTTCACAACCTGATCAAGAAAATATTAACTTCAGACAACGATATAAATTTTAGAAGAAAACTAAAGATGACAGCTTCCTACCATGAATCCGGAGGTTGTAAGAAGTCCTTGACACTTGATAATAGCATCTGTTCGCTCCAAATAACACGCATTGGTACCAGTTCCAATTATCACCGCAGCAACAGTGTCTGCATCATGATAATGTCCAAGAGCTAACGTTCCCACAGTGTCATTTATCTGCTACAAAATAAAATTGACTCATAGTTAAAACCAAACCAACTAACAATCCAATAATGAAAAGAAGTCCCATATTAACATGGTTTACAACCTAACGTGCCTTTTGTGCACACTGCATGTCTGTGAGAAAACAAGGTCATATATTGACTCTGAAATATAAACTACTATAGCATTTCCCAGTCTCCTATCAACAATTGTGAAGAATTCCTCTTAATTTTTTTGGTTAAAATACCATCTTGGTCCCTGTTCAT